CCATGCATGCGCTATCTCCTCTGCAGTTTTAGAGCTACTGTTGTGTTTGCCTCACAGAGAATGACTCTCCTCTGACCTGTGGCAAAGCGATAGCACCTTGCTGCTGGGCTATTTCCACATCTACAGGAAGGGCACTTTGGGTCAACAGACCCTCTGGTTGTGCCAGTGGTGTGACACAACTTAGGTGGAGCCCTGTGCCAGAGGGAGGACATGTTCAGAAGTTGCAAGAGGTGTAGCTAGACAAGCCACAAGAAGGCAGATGCTAAAGTAATTCCTCCTCTAGATTTTGTACACAGGACAAATGTTATCCTGGCATTGCTGTTCTATGGCTGTTTTCTTTGTGGGTGTACTTGGTTTCCACAGAGTGCTAGCAGGGTATGAGTTACCTTCATACTATGCTTCCGTTGAATGTCAAATCAATACAGTCCTGTTCGCTTTCACTGTCTGTTGTCACAGTATGCTTGCTGGGGTTCATATTTTGCTACAGAGCTCATTTTCGCTCTCTTTATTAATGCTATTTATCTAGTGCAACCTTTTATTTTATTTCTAAAATGTGTCTGTCCAGACTGAGTAATTTATTTTGTATGACACAGAGGGTATTTGAGTCAAGCTTCCTGCACAGAGGAAGGTGTGCAGCAGCCCTTTTTAGTATGTCTCAGGGCTGCTTCTGCTTCACTTGTAGTAGTTCAATAATTAATTTAAACTTTTATTTCAGTGTGGAGGTTGGTGTCCGTGTTGAGGCTTACAACTGTGAAGAATGGATCAAGGACCAAGCACGGCATATTAATAGTGCATTTCTCATTTTCAACACTGTAAATGATAAAGGACAGTTGGTCACCTTCCCCAGAATCAAACCTACTACAAAGGTCAGCTCTCATCCTCAGGAGTAGGATGAATGCATATATGAGATTATGTGATCCATACAGCACACTGCATGTCGCACAGCCAGCCACTATAACCTTGCCAAGGAAGCAAGGACTAAACAGGAAGCAAGGACTAAACAGGGCTGTGCTCTGAAATGAAAGCTCTTGGAAAAGGAAAAGCCTCTAAATGAAATGTTTGCCTTTGAGAGATTTGTTGTTGTTAACTTCAGTCATCCAAAACTGACAGGTGTAGTGGAGGGTCGTCATCATTAGAAATTCTGTAGTTAATTGATGGACAGGGAAGAAGAATCTGCTTTTTGCAGACTTTTGCAGCTGTCCATATCTGTCTTGTGCAATCTCCAGTGACTGTAGATGACACTCCTAAGTGTTCAGTGAGTAAAGTTATTTTTATAAACCCTTAATGAAGATGAGAAATAGAGTTAATAAAGAAGTTTATAGGAATGAAATCCCATTACATGGGTGGGCTTTCCAGTTCCTTTGACATGGACATCTCAGCATGTGTTTCCCTGAAAGTGGTTCATGAAGCTCTTGGAGCAGTTTGAACACTATTGTTGAATTATTTGCTGTGATTTTACCTATCATTAACTTTACTGCTCCAATTATGAGATTTTTTTAGAGAGCCAGCATAGAAATTAAACTATTATAATTAATATAAGTAAAATTATATTTTATTGTATGGCAACTGGGCAAATAAATCAAGGTGTTCTATGGATTAGGTGAGGCAGTAAGGTTCGCTACTCCCCATTACAAGCTGTTCAAAGAGGGAGAACTGACTTTCCCTCAAAAAAAAACAACCAAAAAATACCAAGCCACAGTAGCTTCTGTCAGAAAAAGAGTGCCTCTCTTAAAGACCTGCTTAGAGGGGCATCCACAAGCTAAGCATCAAGATAAGAACATGTACACCTATTCCTTCAGCGTAAAGCAAACAAATCTAGGAAAACTAGTATATGTTCAAGATAGTTTAAACTTTCAGCAGTCATTTCACTGAACGTGACAGCTGGTGTGGCAGTGCTCTACAAAACAGGCAAGAGGTGCCTTCAAAAAATATTATGTAGTCCTGCATTTAAAGAAGGCTGAAATGCACTAATCTGGAAATTCTTCGTATTCCAGAAGCTACATGCCATCTCTTAAAAGCAGAGAAAAAGAAGCTTTTTCCAAAGTGACAGATCCTTTAAGATAACAAGTCCTGTTGGCCTTTAATGAAGTTTTGTGTGCTGTATGCTCTTGGGTCACTTCTGCGCTTCAAAAAAACCCACCACCTTGGCAGAATATTAATAAGGGAAGTGAAAGACCTGCCACCTTGAAAGGTGGATCATATCTGTTTGCGCAGTGCTTGCTCTGTGTCTTAGATCCACATGTGCTAAAATAGGAATTCTTCCATGCTTCCTTTGTGCTTTGAACATCAGATGATGGTGAATTGGATCAACAGTTTACTTGATGGGTAGCACATTTAGAAAGACTAGAATGTGTGTGGTGCACTGCCCAGCTGCCGCTGGTTCAGGGCCAAAAAGTGCTAGGAGTGTGCTACTGTGATACAACTTTTTATTGGATTGTTTTTGCAAACTTAAGGGAGTATCGTCAAGTCAAAAGTAAACCACTGACTCAGGTTAATCTGGGGAAAATCCAATGTACAGAGTACAATTCTTTATTTATTTGTAATACGTCTCTGGTATTCGTCCATCTGTGAGAAGTAGGTTTAATTGTCTTTTTTTAGACTGTGTCCTAAAATAATCAGATTTGATACTGTCTGGTTTACTTTTTATAAAGGATGGTATAAGGCGATACCATGGAGCTATTATCCGAAGGAGAATTCGACTAGCCAGGTATAGTTGGGTTACAAGGAGAACTTGATGTTGAAAACTTAATTTTCTAACATATCCTCTAAAAAGCAATCGTGTTAAGTGGTTAAAGTGTCCTCAAACATAACTGTTACGTTTCTTAACTTTCCGAACAATTTTGCCTGAGTTGCATTGAAATTACTAGAGACTACTCATCTCAAACATACTTTGCTCTCTAGGTTGTTTCCCTGTCTTGGGAAGAAAAATGAGTTATTGCAAACCTGTCTTGCAACCGAATATTGATAAAATATCTGTAAAGCATTTAGAAGACTTTAACCCTATAGAAGTGATTGTTTCTAACATATATAGAAGAAAGTGTAAAAAACCAATTCATGCTATTATTTTTCTTTTGAACTTCATTTTAGAAAATGCATGCTGTCTGCTAAAGAAAACAAACCTTCTGATCCCTGGGAGAGAAGCAACCAGGTAACCTGTAGATTGTGTCCTATTGTCTGCCTGCATAAAATGGTGTATTTTTACACTTTTTGGGTGTGTAAAACAGTTGTACAAGCCATATTAGTTTCCAAAGTGGACCTTCTGTACTTAAGTGTTATGATAGTAATGGTAGTAGAATAGATAAATGTGCAATAAGATGAACTTTGTTTTCTTCTGAAAAAAGAGAATAGATGCTTCGCTATTGATTTAAGAGTGAGTTTCATACAAAACATAAAAAATGTCTTTAAGATAGAATCTTTTAACAAGTAGTCCCTTAAGCAGATGAGCTATGAGGTCTCCTCCAGGTTTATATCCCAATGTCCCTGCTTTTAAAAAGCTGCGTTCTCCTATAGAAGAACTAGTTGGGTGGGGTTTTTTTTCCCCTTTATCCAGCCACAGACTTTCTCAAAAATTATTGGAGGGAGACCATTTAGTAAATGCTAAAAGTAGGGGAAGAGGCATGGCAATACCAACACACTGATGAACAGTGAAATAGCATAAACTTTGTTTCTGTGGGAAACAGAGGTGAAAACATGTTTGTTCCTAGATACTCTGCATCAAGTGGTACGTGTTTCTGGCTTGGACATGCTAGGCCATAAGAAGTGCCTGTGTCAGGAAATGAATAGTGATGAACCTGAATTTAGGTGAATTTATACACACCCCAAATGTGGTTTCAGTGTTGAGTATTTGAGCTTAAATTTTCATTCCATTTAAGATCTCAGTGGCTCTCAGAAATTTTACCAGGTCTTTTTCCATTACGTAGAAAAAAAGTAGTTGAGAATTGTAATGCAGGAAGTGATTTGCTGTTAACAGCGGCATCTCCACTGTTTGAAGCAGCATTTTTTTTTCTGCAAAACAAGAAATATAAATATGCATGCAATGATAAAAATGACTTACTTAGATTTAGTCAATATTAAACTAAAACCTGTCATTAAGACTCTGTAGCTGTATTTTCTTGGTACAGTGCTTAAATGAGAACTCCATCCACTGTAGTCAAGCATAAATAATGGATGTTTTTGGACTTTCTCTGCTCTGAGCCTGCTGTGTAAAGCAATTGCGAAGATAGACCACAGCTTGATGCAATGAAGAGGTTAATTTTCTAATAGATATTAATTACTTAGGAGAAAGATGGACAGAACCATTAATTTAATGGTCTGAGAGGTTACCTGTGTTATCTCTCTGGTGGTCACAGTTTTTCTGCACTGTGTTACGAGCAGAGAAGCCCAAAGTAGTATTTTGTTGTTGTTTAATTAGTGTTGTTTTGCCAACAGTCATGTGAGCACATAATCTAGCTATTGAAAGTATTTAATTCAGAAACCACTGGACTGTGTTTTCTGGAAGGAAAACAATTATGGGAAAACACACATTTATTTGCAATTGAGGGGTAATGATAGAAAAAGAGCATCTCATTTCTGCAGTGTTTAGTGAAATGTACCTTTACCCCTTCATTTTCAGAAATGTATCTTACGTTTCAGGCATATGTGAGTTACAGCAATATAGCTGCACTGACACACCTAGCCGCAAAGTCAGGATGGGAGATAACCAGTACACTGGATGATGTAAGTACATACTTGTGGCATAGCTACATAGCTACTTAGTTTCACTGTAAGAGGTGAGTGGAGAAGAGCAATGCTTTACATTTGTAAATAAATACATTGGCTTGGCACTGTTTGCTTTTATTGTGGCTGGAGTTAAAAACCAGGACGCCCAGAGTTTCCCTGAAATGTTTCAGAGCAACCTCTGATTGTCCAGAGTGCTGTGCAACCTGGAAGTGCCATGGAGTTCTTCTAAGATGGCCTGAATGGCTGCTGAACATTGGACCTGGGGTCCCAGAAGGGCAGGCTTGCCAGCAGCTGATCAGTTGTGCTTGTTGAGCAACACACAGGAGAGTGTAAAAACATAAACACACATCTCATTTGTGTGAGGCGTTTTCTTCGCCACAACTGATGTGCTTCTGTGGTTTTGCCAATTTGTTTGATTGCAGTGAAACACCAAACTTTGACATCTTTGTTTAGGCAGTGCTCTTGATGATCTATGGGGCTTCTGATGTCACTGCGATACGGAAAATGTGTGCAGCAGTTTGTAATATACTGCCTTTACCAGCTTTGCATCATGGGAGATGTTTCAGTAGCAGGCATTATCTTGTGATAGTGCCACATGGCACTGCCAGTTGGCAGGTGGCAGCAATTTATATACCATATTTTTCAGTCTCTGTCTTCTCAGGAGACTGCTTGACTCTTTTTCTGTGCATATTTTTCCTTTTGGATATCTTTCTTTCTGCCCTTTTTCTATTAAAAAATTACAAAAGCCTGAAAGCAAAGCACCTCTCTGTTCAGCAATCAGTGTTATAAGCTCAAAATCAGCAAGGAATCTTGTGTAAGCCAGTTTTAAGATATGAAGATGCCATTAAGAAAACCAGTAGCAAGATAAATTAGCTGGGAAAACTCAACTTTTACCTAGCCGCAGTGCATGTTTTCCAGACTATTGAGAGACATCTGTTAAGGTTTGTTTTCTGAAATATGGTTAGTGACTGGCAGATTTCTTTAAGAATGTGTAGATTTGGAGACGTTTTGGGACAAGAAAAGACTGTTACAATCTTTTAGTCTGACCTCCTGCGTGTCACAGACTCGGAAAATTCACGTGCTGATATAGTTAGGTGAAGCGTCTTGTCAGTAAGCTACTTGAGTAAGAGCATATATAAATCATAAGGAATTCCAGTGATGGCAAATCTGCCAGTTCCATGTGTAGGTTGTTCCAGTGGTTAATAACTTTCAGAAAACACTTTTCTGTCAATTAAATGACAGACTGCACTCATGCTGGAAAAAGCAAGGTCGAACAATCAGACTGAAATATTGTTATTTTCAAGCCTCTGCTAAGACTGTATTATTATCCGTGTGAAACTTCCTTTCTGCATCTGCTGAGACTGCCACAATCTCACTTTCTTTCTTAACCCTAAATGCTTGAAACCTGTAATAGAACCAGCACCAGACATTGTGAAGAAATTACTTCATACAAAAACCAAAACCTATGCACATTCTGGATGGCATTTTAAACACATGATGTTACTTACCTATCTCAGGAAGCCACCAGGTACCCTCTAAAATTATCAGAGTCTGGCATTCTCTCCCCTTTTTGGGTATCTTAAAATAGTATTTATAGTAAGATCTGCCTCTAAGCCACTTAGGTCTTACCTGGTGGAAAATCTTGAGTAGCTTTTCTAGCTGTTCTTTCATCTAATCTAAGTAGGCATCTTAAATCCAGCAAAATCTCAGGCAGGATGTAGGATGCCAATCACACTGATGCTGTCAATGGATGGAGAGTAGCCATCCATCTCCATTGTTCTGGACATTCCTGCATAATCTGGCATTGTCAATCATTAGATATTCGTTAAAGAAGGGGCAATGATCCAAAGTAGCGCACTACCTTTTTTTTTCGGGAAGGATGTATGCAGTGGACAATGATAGCAAACCATACTTATGTAGGCCACTTTGATTGTTGTATACCATTTATTCCATAAGGAATTCTTCTATCCTATTTAGCATCTATTTGCAGACACCAGGTAGACTGCTGACAAAGTGTGGATGTCAGCAGTAGGTAGCAGGTACACCTGTTCCCATATTTGACTGTATACTTACCTCTAAATTAACCCGCTAGTTGGATTAGACTTGCTCTTTGGCAAAGAAAATCAGAATGAAACCTATCTTGGACTTCACCTGTACAACTCCTCCAAATTTAGATGTGTGCTCGGGTCCCTAATGCTGGTATAGATGCAGCTCCAAGGAAAGCTTTCTGCCAGCTCCAGGTAATGAAACTTACCATCTTGGCAAATTTAATTTGGCTCACTTGTCACTGTATCATGTTCCCTTTTTTCACTTTTGCGAATGTGAGCACAAAGGAGCATCCCTTAGGAAACTGTATCTAGCTTGAACATTACATCATCTTTCCTTAAGCACTGCAGGCCACCAAACACACATCACACTGGTCTGTTCTCTGCACTCATGTGGTACATGAGTCTTGATCCTGTATTTAGGGTATACAGAAGCATAGGCACAGAACAACTACTTAGCCTTCTTTGATGGACACACATAGCAGCATCTCCACTCAAACCCATCTCTTCTATGAAATGGTTTCTTGGGGAGAGGCTGAAAGAACAAATAGTAGGAACCAGGTAGTAGGATCAGTGCTATGCCTGAAGGCAGTCATACTATGGGAAAGCAGACTGTCAAAGACGTTAGACTGAACTGTTATTTTGGCATGAAATATTCTAGTAGGTTTTGCAAAGCAGTGTGTGCCTCTCTGTATGCAGGGGATTTGTTCCCATTTCCCTGGCACTAGAATGTGACATAGAGCCACAAGATTTGAAGGCCTGTAGGAATAATCTAGCCTTGCCAATGTTCACTTAGCAGAGAGATGTTTTAACAGCTGCACCTCCTACTTTGTTTTGTGATTTTCAAGTCTAGAAGACTCCCAAAACACCACCATTTCTCTTCTCTGCCTTAGAGGAATATTGATCTGTGCATCTTGTAGCTGGTTTCTAAGGCTTTTAGGCCTTTTGTTTTACCCCAAACTTTACTTCAGCAAGATGCTTGCTGGATTATGTTGGGTTTTTTTTTCCCATTTGTCGTGGGTTAGGCTGATCCAGCAACCAAACCCACGCAGCTCTCCCAGTCCAGTAAAATGGAGAGGAGAGAAAAATGTAATAAAAGAGCTGAGGATCGAGACAGGAACAGAGGAGCACCCACCAACCACGGTCCCGGGCAAAAGAGGCTGTTTTCTTAAAGCAAAACTATTTATTAACAGCTACCTACAAAAGAGAAAAGCACACAAAAACGGTTACTTGAGAGAATAACAAGAAAACAAGGCCAGGTCTTAAAAACAACACCACTCCCCCCCGCTTTGCTTCCTTCTTCTTTCCGGCTCTACCTCCTCCCCCC